ATGCCCTGGTGAGCAATGATGGTCCCCCATCATTGAGGACCGCAGCAGAGTGCCTCTGTGCTTGGGGGACCTGCTGGCATCGAAAGTGGGACATCTTCCTTAAACTATGTCCCCCTTTTTGTGTTCAGATCATTTACTGATTTGATGCACCACTGGGTTTCTGAGGCCTCCAAGTGAGGACTTGAGAGAAGCCTCTTCACCAAATCTCTCTCTGATCTGCTGGCTTCGTGATTACACCAGTCAGAATGCACTTTGTTGTTTGCTTTTTGAACAAACAACTGTCTGTCTCTATTATGATTTCCTGAACTCTGGAGCAGTCAACAGCTCTGGTGACAGCTGTGCCAGATAGTAAGTGCACACATGTCTCTCTGAGCATCTCCCCAAGCACTTCAGAGCAGCTAAGTGGATAAAACTGATTTCAGCTATTACCTGGGTGGTAACTCGCATCTGTTGAGCCCACCCGAGACACTAGAACCAGGCCCTGAAGACAGGGAAGGGGTAGGGGATGGAAGTGAGTGGTCCCTGGCTGTCCTCGTCTTGAAGCCTGTGCTCCTGGGCCTCAGAGAATCTGGATCCCGGCCTGCAAGGGGAATAAGAGCTACACTGACTTAAGGACACAGTGGTGCCTTCTATATCCAAGGGCATGAGCAGGTATGCACCTTTTGGAGTGCGGTCTCACACCTTTACAAATTCAGGGTATGTTTTTTGGAATAGTGAGTTTCATTTCTATTTTCAAGGGTGCAAAGTGGATGGAGGAAATAGACAGTTTTTATAATGTAATTAGACAAATTTTTCCTGGATGTTGTTGGTTTCTCCAACTTGACTGTGGCTCCTCTAGGACAGGATCCATAGCTTTCTCATCTCAGTACCCCTAGAACCCAATTTGTGATTATTTGTTGGATGGATAGGTGGATGGATGGATGGAATGCCTAACTGCACAACTATTGACTTTCCTAAGTTCTAGCAGGTGGGAAATTCTTCTTCAACTCCAGCTAGGTGTAAGCCAAGCAGATCATAAGTTTTCCTTCGTTATGATCTGAAAATCCAGGCCACACAATGAACAGTGTCAGGAGAACAATTAGAAGCCTATCTCTTCTCTAGAGGGGTTTGAAAGCCTCTCTGTTATGGTTATATTTCCACCTGGAGCTGGACGTTGTACTTTTGGCTTCTGCTCAGATCTTTGGTCATTATGGTCTTTCAGGTCTGTTATGGGAAGGACAAGCACTCTAGTAATTTTGATGTCCACATCCATGGATCCACCAAACCTGATAAATTGTAAGATGACCTCAGTGTGTACATCTGGGCTATATTGAGTGTCTTCCACTTGTCCTTACAGATGCACTTTCCATATTGTTTCTTCCATCCCAGGAGGCAGACTTGCTGGAATGTTTCAATGGGTTGCAATTTTCTCTGGCTTCCAATTGGGTTTGGTCAAGAGGCTGGCCCAACAAATCAGAGTTACTGGAGAGGGTAAAGCTGGGATATGTGTCCCCCAACCCTCATCTCAAGATACCCTCTCTAAAGAACTTCTCTCTTCACATCCCTTTGGGCCTAGGGATGATAAGAGCTCTGTTATCACTCCTAGGGAGCTATACTCTCTCCGTAGTTCCCTGACACCCTACCTGCGCCTTGGAAAATGGTGCTTTGTCCCACCCTCCTAGAGCGTGCCTTTGTTTCCAATTGAGACCTGGAATTGTGTATTGACCCAAGACACTTCTTCTGATAAAGGGGTGACCCTGGTTGCCCTGAAGCTCCCATCAAAAGAACATGTCCAATGAAGGGCACCCCTTACTCTCCTGACTTTCACAGTCCCTTTGTGCCCTGTATGCATGTTTGAAAAGCATTTGTCTGCCACCCCTTTTACTAAAGTAAGAAGTACCTTACTTTGCCATTTTTAATCAACCATCCAATATTGCCAGTGAAAACACTTGAATAGCTCAAGGTAACTAGAAGGATCATACTGAATTCCAACCTAAAGCACAGAAAAGTGACATCTGTCACTTAAGGGGACCTAATCATGGGAGGGAGAGGACAGAGTGTCAATTCCTTTAGCATTTTGAGGTATGGAGCGCACAGAACTCTATGGCATCCTGCTTACAGCCCTTGCTAGGCTCAGGTTTGAGAGAAGTTATAGAAAACTTTGAAGATCCAGGGTCTTCTGGATTTCCTCTAGACCAGGGCCAGACTACAGCCAGTGAGATGGCCCCTATTTTTGTAAATACAGTGGACCCTTGACTTACAAACTCAACTCATTTCCGAGGGCTGGGTATAAGACAAGTTGTCCATTGAAGGCTCAGGCTCCTCTACATAACCTTCGAAGTTTCTCTCCTGTGTACGGTCAGATCTCAGTGTCCTTAGAGAGACATTGGTCCAGAATTTTTCAGTCAACCCCGTATAGGAAAGGATGTTCATATGTCCCTTCCAGAACTCTTTGAGGGTTAAATCTGTATCTGACCATCTGGAAGCACAAGCAGTTGGCATTCAGGGTCATGACTTGAGACTTTGGTCATAGAGATCCCATTCAACCCAGCTATTCCCCTTCTAGATATTTTTCCAGAAGAATTAAAAACATCATAGCACAGTGATATATGTGCACCCATGTTTATAGCAGCACAATTTGTAGTAGCTAAATATTGGAAATAATCCAAATGCCCATCAACCAAGGAATGGATAAAAAAAAA